CCACCTTGCACTGAATTAACAAACCTCAACATTTCCCATGCTAATTCTATAATGATCAGCAACATGTAGTTAATAGAATATCAGAATAACAGAGTTGGAAGGGACCTTGGACGTCTTCTAGTCCAACCCCCTGGTCAAGCAGGAAATCCTATAACGTTTCAGACAAATGGTTGTCCAATCTCTTCTTAAAAACCTCCAGTGTTGGAGCACCCATAATTTCTGGAAGCAAATCATTCCACTGATTAATTGATCTAACTGTCAGAAAAATTCTCCTTAGTTCTAGATTGCTTCTCTCCTTGGTTAGTTTCCATTTATTGCTTCTTGTCCTGTCTTCAGGTGCTTTGGAAAACAGGTTGACCCTCTCTTTTTTGTGGCAGCCCCTTAGATATTGGAACACTGCTATCATGTCACACACCCACTAGTCCTTCTTTTCATTGAACTAGACCAGGGGTAGGCAACCTTGGCTCTCTTATGAATCATAGACTTCAACTCCCAGAATTCCTGAGCCAGCCATGCTGGTTCAGGAATTCTGGGAGTTGAAGTGCACGACTCATAAAAGAGCCAAGGTTGCCTATCCCTGAACTAGACATACCCAATTCCTGCAAGCATTTTTCATATATTTTAGCCTCTAGTCTCCTAATAATTTTTGTTGCTCTTCTCTTTCTAGAGTATCAACATCTTTTTAAATTGTGATGACCAAAACTGTATGCAATATTCCAAGTGTTGTCTTACCAAAGCATTAAAAAGTGAACACTTCATGTGATCTTGATTCAATCCTTCTATTAATGTAGCCTAGGAATGTGTTGGCTTTTTTGGCAGCTGCTGATTCGTATTTAAGTGATTGCCCATTAGGACTCCAAGATCTCTCTCGTAGTTACTACTATTGAGCCAATTACCACCTATTCTATACCCATGCATTTGGTTTTTCTTGCTTAAATGTAGAACCTTACTTTTGTAAGATGTGCAAGCTATTGGATGTAAAAGTCATTTCAAATCATTTTTACATTTTTTGGCTAGACGGTAGAATCACCTTATTTTATATTCCCTTCTCTGGTATAATCCCTGAAAGTTTGGGATTTATCTTTTTTATTTTGTTTTTTTCCTATTTCTATTTAAAAGGCCATATAAGGGCTCTCTGGAGAAGTCTATAACGTTAGGAAAGAGAAGAAGACCACCAGCAGCAAGGTGGATAAGCAAGTGGGTGTAAGCCGAGGACTGCCTGTAATCACAATATATTATCAAGTTATGATTTTATTATTTTTCCTGGCTGCTAGTTGCAAAGACATTTATAAATTAGCAATATCACAATTCTCAATTTGCTTTACTACAATGGTGCTTAAAAGTTAATGAACTCTATTGAATTTTCAATATTTCTGCATAAATATTATGTAAAATGTGATTTGTTCTCCATACAAGTTCCAAAACTAATACTAGAAAATTAGATAAAGAGAACTTAGTTAAACAAATGATTCATTATACCCGTTCATTGACTTATTGAGGGAAATGACTGTACATGTTATAAGAACGGGGAGAAAATGGAGTTGGATGATGAAAAATTTCAAACAACATCTATGCTTCCTTTTTAGGTGAAAGTAATTGTTCCTCATTCTAGTTACTAAAACTAAATGATACTACAAACGAACAGAAAATTGGTACTCTGAAAAAGATTGATGGAATTTCTTGTGAGCTCTATGTAATTTTTTTATTATTTCATTTGAAATTTCTCTATTTTTTCCGTGCAAATTCTCAGCCAACTTTTCTAACATTGTCAGGGCTTCCACAAGACCTTTTATTTCATGTCTTTCAATATTCAGCATAAAAAGGATATATCAAGCTTTGCTTTTTAATATAGGGCGTTCTTAACTTATGGCTGGTCAGCCATTCAAAGCTATAACATATCTTGCCAGAGCTACTTTTGACCCAGTTTCGAAGTTCTGATAGCCGCAGTCTCATGACTGCATTTGCAGAGCACCAATTTGGTCCAGTGTTTTAAGGCAGCAGGCTAGAAACCAGGAGACTGTGAGTTCTAGTCCCTCCTTAGACATGAAAGCCAGCTGGGCAACCTTGGCTGGTCACTATCAGCCAAACCCACCTCACAGAGTTGTTGTTGTGGGGGAAAATAGGAGGAGGACGGTATGTTGGATATGTTTGCCACCTTGAGTTATTTGTAAAAGTAATAAAGGAGGGATAAATAAATAAATAAAAATAAATAAAATTATAACAATTTTCAGTGTCCTATAGTCACATGACCACAATTTTCAGCATTTTTTTTACTTCTGGTTTCTGGCAAAAAATAAAGATAAAGGAGTCCCTGCAGATTTTACTCTGCTAGTCGTTGCCGACTATAGGGGGCAGTGCTCATCTCCATTTCAAGGCCATTAAGCCAGCACTGTCTGAAGACATTTCTGCAGTCATGTTGCCAGCAGGATATCACAGAGCGCTTTCCCACCAAAGTGGTGCCTATTTATCTACTTGCATTTGTAGGTGTTCCAGCTGCTAGATTGGCAGGAGCTGGGGCAAGGACAGGAACTCACACCATCACGTGGAGCTTGAGTCTTGAACCTTGGCTGCCAGCTTTCCAGCCAAGAAGCCCAGCATCTTAACCACTGAGCCCCTGTGCTGCCCCCAATAGTTCTAATATGGTGCTCAAAATAATTTAACTGGTATAATTAGTTCTTTGTTAAACTTATTGCATTCTGAGAAATTCCTATGTCATCATTTAAATGTTCAGCCTAGAATATGATTAATGAAAATTTATTATCATAATCCCTTAGATTTCTAAATGAGTTTTTTAAAATATGGTAAACTGGTTTATTTGGGAAGTCTTTGTACTATAGTTCTTTATCTTAGTCTATTTGAAGTTTCCCCACCCCATCCTCCACTTCAAGCAAATCCATCAGAAACAGAATGTTTCAATTTTACACATTTTGTGTCAATTTTCCAGACAGAAAGTAGCCCCCAGACATTAAGATATTTAGCTACGGAAAGGCGGTTTCCTTAGTTTTATTTGAATACTAGAAGTTGAGATTCCTGCTGATAGTTCAGGACTGTTAGTGGTTGCCTGACTGTTTGACAGAAAACATTTCCTTTCCTTTATTTAACCTTTGACTTGTGAATATAAAAGCTTTATCAGAATTGTAGTAGAAGTGCAAGAGAGCTGGAAATCGACCTTGTGCAACAAAGCTGAAGACTGTCTTTGAATGAAGGCTCGAATGCCTGCCTGGCTGGTAGCTCACCGGATTAAAAGAGTATGTTAAATATGTTTTTAATTAGTGATGAAATATTTGGTGTTGTTGTTTATATGACAGGTAAGGACTACATTGGGTAGGATCTAATGAATTTAAAAACAATACAGGGCCACATCCATGATTGATTTTGCAGATGCTATTTCCAACTTTTGGGTTTTTTTATAGCAGGCAGCAAATTTGTTGAAACTTTTGCTGACCTGCTGAAATTTCTACATACCATGTGAGCCAGTTTTGTGAGTTAGCTTTTGTGTGATTATTGCTAAAGTAAATATTTCTCTAGATTCAATACCATGTTTCCCCAAAAATAAGTCCTATCCTGAAAATAGCCCTAGCTTGATTTTTACACGTGCATCTAATATAAGTCCTACCCCCAATATAAGCCCTAGTTTGGGGGCAAGGCACACTCATAAAAATCAAGCTAGGGCGAAGGTGGGGGGGTGGAGCCACGTGGCTCATTGCGTCAATTGTGCCAGTGCCACCACTCACGGCAGGAGGCTGTGTGGCTCATCGCGCCAATCGTGCTAGTGCTGCCGCTCGCGCCGAGTCACACGACCTCCTGTCCCGAACGGCGGCACCAGCATGATGCGCACATGGCGTGTGACTGTAAGTGGCCGCAGAACTCAGGCAGCAGCGTTGATGAGTTATCATATAAGTGCCTCAACCCATCCCATTCTAGAGAATAGTCCAGGCCTTGCAAAACCAGATTTTCAGAAAGGATTTGTGTGTATGTTTATATAGCTGAATGGATGGAAAGGCCACAGTACAAAAGTTATTCATGTAGTTGGGGGAAATGAGGAGAGGAAGTATGACCAAATATCTGACTGAGGAGGCTTCCAGAAGTGTTGTTGGACATTATGGTAATTTATACGAGGAATAAGTAACAGAGGAAGTATGCATTTGCCCCTAGTGTAACTATGTATTGCAGGGTTCCTTGAATGTATATAATTGGTGCATGCACGATCATCCTGATCTTATATATGAAGATATTGCCATAAATGTGTGGATGAAAATATAGAAAGTACATTATAATAGTTTTAGCCATTATTTTTCATAAGTATTCACTTAAAAGCTTAGGTTTTTTTTAATGGTTAAAAACCTCAGGTTTCCATTGAAATTACAGTCTTAGATTTATTGTCACTGGACATATACAGAAAAATCCACAGTGTTCAGAAAGCATGTCCTATTCTAGAACCCTGACTGATGGGGTTAAAAGGGAGAATAGGTGGATTAAATGAGTGCTAGTAGCATCATATTTGACTTGTTTGTAGATATTTATCTTTGACTGTTTGCTGATACTGTTTATTTGTAAAATATATTTCATTAAAAAATCCTTTCCACTAAATATCAGAATATTTGAAAAATGACATAGAAGGAAATTACTCTGAATTCTTAAACTTTTCTGACTGTTTTAGGAATATGATAGCCTTACATAAGGTCTGGATGTTAATTTTCTCCTGCCAATAGTTCCCGGTGCATTAACTCTGTGTCAATGTCATGTAAGATAGGTAGATAAGAACTGTTACTTTCCCACAGAGAGAAGTTGCTTAATCAAAACTTGAATTTTAGGCAGAGTATTTTTTAACATTGCTTCTTTCTTTGTGGTTTGAAATATTTCCAAAGTCATATTTTCTTGTGAATTTTCCACTTCTGTACTGTCAAACTTGCTTAAGGTTTTTCAAAAAGCGCATTACAGTGAAAACCGTTTTAAAATAATGCTTCCATTTCTTAAAGCTGTTTCGTTTCTCTTTTCAGCTATTTGCCATGGTTTGAGATGTACTACAAACTTTTAAATACACTGGCAGAATATTTAGCTAAAGAACAGGTAATTTTGTTGTTATTAAATAGAAATGATGTTGTGAAGAATTGCTAATCATAAATGATATTAATGTAGTAGTCCCTCTTTTTTTAAAAAAAGAAATCAAGAATTACATATATTTTAGGCTACTGTTTTATTACTTTTCTTTAAAATAAATATTTTAATAATTTAAAAGCATTTTAAGTAGAGAAATTAAATGACATTTCTATCCTAGAAATTATACATCAGGATTAAAACCTAGAATATAACTTGAGTGTGGACATTTTTAATACTTTGCTACAAAATATTAAATAAATTTGCTAAAGAAATGCAAGAAAGTGCCACAATTTATATTGATAGAGATAATGTTATTCAGTGATTGTCATTTGTTTATGCTTAGTTTGACCTACTATAAGACATATTGTGTTATTGAGAAGAAACCAGTTATTTGTGAAACTGGAAATAGATGAACTGTAAAGATAGAAATCAAGACTTCAGAAGTTTGGGTGCTCCATCACTGGAGGCTTTTAAGAAGAGACTGGAAGTCATTTGTCTGAAATGGTATAGGGTTTTCTGCCTGAGCAGGGGGTTGGACTAGAAGACCTCCAATGTCCCTTCCAATTCTGATATACTATGTTCTAGTGATAACATTGCCTATTCCTCGTTACCTTTAGTAATCAATCTGAACTATAGCTATGGTTGCAGAAATTGTAAAATAACATAATAGGACATACATACATACATACATACATACATACATACATACATACATACATACATGGATAATATGAATATGGATTTGAATCTCACATTGTGAAAATGTAACACTTGTTTAAAGTTGGGATTTGAGTGTGAGATTCCATGATTTTCCTGTTTCATTCTGACATAGAACACATCTCAATATTGATAGGCAAGATTTGACATCTATAGAAGTTTTCAATGATTCCCATTCTTCAGTTTCTAGATACAGTATATTTCAATATCACAAATCAAGGTGCTTAAAATAAAATTAACTGGATTTCACACTAGTACAAAACCTATAATAATTCTGAACATTTCATATCCCATAAGTTACCAATATCCATAAAGACTGAATTTTCCTAGTTACTCATATTTGGCTGTATTTGAATTAGCTTATATAGCGCTCTTTCTAAAATGGCTTTGGATATAGAATCAATTCCTGGAAGGGCTACACTTTTTAAAATAATTTAGATAGCTTGGGATAATTTTTGGAAATATGAACCTACTTTGAATACTACGATCAGCTTTAGAAACTCTAATCCTAGGGCCATTATCAAATTGTTTTAGATTGATGACCATCATTCAGGAATATATTGATATTTGTTGAATTACCTATCAAAAGGGACATGTTGGGCCCTATAGTAATTTGTAGAAAAGCTGTTTTTTAAAGTGAGACTATGGACTTGATATTTAATAACAGATAATATTTTCATTTCATTTCTGCTTTATCTAGATTATAGTGGTGGGCTAAAAGCTTTTAAATTAGGCACATAGAGAGCTCATTATATTTTATAGTTTTCATTGATTTTGTACTGCCTTAGAAAGCTTTGTCCTAGAAATAAAAAAATTGGGCATGTGCTATACATATTTTATTTTATTTTGGCTTGGTTTTTATACGGCTTGTTTGCCCTTTCCACCTGTATTATTACTCTTTTTTTGTACTGTTCATTTGGTTATTTTTGTTGCAGATTGTACCAATATTTGTTTTATATTTTTATACATTACTTTATAAAATGTTTTTCTTTGCATGTTCATATAGGAATATGCTTTATCATAAATACAATCATAATCCATAAAGCTTTGATTAACACATGGAAAGACTGCAGTATTTTGCCAATTAACCGTGGAGTTTTTCATGTGTCCACTTGAGAATAAAGAGGGAAAAATGAGATGGTTTCTGTTTGCATAGAAAGTGATTGTACTTATTTTTGCTTTTGATATACAGTGAATGTAAATGAAGTTTTTATGTCTATTGAATAAATTTTTGAAAAAAAATCTTATTTTGCATAGGAAGCTGACTTGAATGATTTATTAGAAACATGGTTTAACCATTCTGTGCCAGAGGCAAATACTCCTATCAGCTTAAATTTGGTAAGTATAGCTTTTACTATAGAAAGTTGAATTGTAATTAAAATATTAAAGATAAGTCCCAGCTCGATCATAAAATAGATCCACCCTGTAAAGAGTGGTGAATTTGGTTTTCCTATAAAATACTTTTTATAGATATGACTTTTTATAGATATGAGTAAATATATTGATTGTTATTGTGGAGTGTTCCATTGTGCTTATTCTCCCATATAATCTTGGAGGAGTAGATGCTAATTACTCAGTAAATGGCTCACGTTTTTCCAGTTTTATTTTGAATCCCAAACTCTTAGATATCTCTAAAAGATCTACAAGAGATGCCAATTGTGCAGGAAATAAGATACATTCAATGCAGTTTTGCTAACTGATTCTGATGAAATAGAAACTGTTTACAATCACTTTTATAGTTCTTTTAAAAGGACACTTCTGAATAAATTAAAACCAACTTATTTGGTTGAATTGTGGCTATGTATTACAGCATTACCTCTAATTTTGGGATCCAGGGCAAAGGTCCAAATGTTGACATTGGCCATATAAATAATACTAATCTAGTAAGTGTGCCATTATACTTCTTTAACCTATTTTAGTTTTAGGAAATACTCTGATACCAAAAATACAGTATTTTTGAATCAGGGAATTGGTGTCTCTTTTAAATGTGCTGTTTCCTCTTTACATTTCCTTTAATTTTAACAAATACCTATGATTTTATTGCTTTTTTTTATACACAAGCACACAACACATGTTACTGGTTATTACTTTTTGCATAGTGAATTCCATACATTTAAAGATAGGTCAGTGATTATAGTTTGTACACATATGGGTATACAAATTCTTCAATAAGAGATTACTATGTGCAAAGTTATAGTAGTTATTAAATGATAAAAATACTTTGAAAGGTACTTGGGATGCTATCTTTAACTGTAATAAGTCCAGAATAAAGTAATTTGGTCCTCCATAAATATATTTTATTTTTTTTGTCACTTTCTCTAGGACTCTGAATGCAAAGATGAAATCTTTTCTTGGCTAACACATTGACATTGGGAGTTTTTTAATAAAATATTTTGAAATTGAAATTTATTGCAGCCAACGAGTTTACTAGATGAATTAGTATAAAATCAGATGTTTGTTTAGAAGCCTTCTCCCAGAAGCGATTCAGGATAACAATATTTTATTATTGCAGATAAAACTCATAATCATTTCCTTTTTTGAATTCTTTGAAGGAAAAAAAAGTGGATAAAATATTTTTAAAAAATTGATTTAACACCGAGATGGACAACCTACAGTGTAAGAACCGCATTTGCAGCTCCCTTTTCTTCATTTTTTCAGCCCCTGAAACTCCTCATCATAATGGTTGAAAATTGGTTTCCTGCTATTTTGAGATAGAAGGCACATAAACCTATATTGAAGATTGCAAATAGGCACATTGACGATACAAACAAAAAAATCTGCCTTTAGAATTCTCATTCTCTTTAAAATCTAATCTTGCTGTCATGTGGTTTTTGGTCCCACTGATTTCCCCCCCCCCCAATTGATAAATACAATCATTGAGATACTAGAAGATTGGGAGAGCAACAATTGTTTATTGCAAATTTAAACTTAACAGCAGTGAATATAATCAATCATTTATTAATAAAGAAGCGGCTTCCTTTAAGAAGATTTTAAAAGGCCCTTTCCAGAAACATTTTATAGTTACAAGCCTATTTACAATAAGTACTTACAGTACTTACCAATAATTATAATGTGTATCTTAGGGTTTTTTTTACCATTTGTTGTTTTAACAACATTTCCTTCTTTGGCAATCCTATTACTCTTTCTTCTGCAAAACAAAAATAAAATCCTATATCATTTGAAAGGAAAAGCATAAAAGGATGAAATAGTCCTGTGTCGAAAAGAAGAGACAAATTCATTTAGAAAGGAACACATTTTAAAAAGCCAAATAAGCCTTGTTTCAAAAAATGAATTGACTGATCCTATTGGAAAAATAACAAGGTGTTTTCCAGTGAGCACATTCTGAAAACTCAATATTAATATATATTAATAGTGAGTGCAAAATGCTCACTATTTTAAAAAATTGCTTGCTAAATGTTGTCTATTGATCGCAAGAAATTTATAAATGCCCTCTGAGAAATTACTATGTTGTGACTGTCTAAAGGAGGCAATCTACTTGAATATATTTTCCAAGAGTATATATTATTAGATTTGGAACTATATGCGCAAATTGTCTACTAAAAGGATCTTAATATTTAATAAAGTGACAATAGTTTATTCTTACACCTCTTTTGCTTATTAAAAAAATTCCAGAGACTGTTTTTTCTCTATTTCAGTTGTTTGTGTATTTCAGAGGAGAGAACTTAGTAGCCTAGAAATCAAAACTATATTATTTTCATTGAATATATTTACAGATAGCCCTATTGAAAGTATGTGAAAAATGTCTTCCCATCACATCTTCATTACATTTCCATGTCATTTGCATGATAATTGTTCAGCAGATTGAATGTTTGGCTTTTCAGTGATTATAAAATCTCTCTAATTTACATCTTGCCAAAAAACCCAGGAAAGGTCTTTGCGATCGAAAATAATCCAAAATGCAAAAACCCAAGGATACAAGCCAAAATTGGTCAGATTAAACATACAGATAGTCCTCGACTTATTACCGATGATTTTATGAGTTTGCCCTAATGGCAGCCTTAGAACAGGTGCTTTATGGTATGTAAACAATCACCAGCTGTTGTAAATGATTGTGTTGCCTCTAGTCATGTGAGCACATTTCAGGGGCTTGGCAATCTGTTCACATTTACAACCGTTTGTTAAGTACCCTGCAATCATGTGATTACTACTTGCAATCTTATCTGTCAACTTCCCCAGAAAGACAATGGGGAATTGGCAAGGAAGGCTACAAGTGGAGGAGATGGAGAATTTGAGGTCTGTTAACTTGGTGTACAGCAAAGTTTTCCCCTCCCCTCTGTGCAGGGAAGGAAAATTATCCTGTGTGGTGGAGGAACAGACCTCAAATCTGGTGAAAACACTAGCAAACATCAGCCTCCTGAGCTTTTCAAGAGCTGATGTTTGTTACCATTTTCCTCTGCCCAAATGCTAATGAAAACCAGTGTTCTGAAAAGCACATAAGGATGTAGTGTAGGTCAGGAAAGATGCATGGGGATGCTCAAGTGGTTGCACAATGCAAGTGCTGAGGGGCTGGGGAAGTTGTGCAGGTGGGGAAGACTTGTCCGGGGAACTTGCAACCTTCCCTTCTGGCTTCCTCATTACAAACATTCTCTGTTAGTTTCCCATAAATAAAGACTTATGGACAATCATGATTGAGTTTACAGTTCCTGTTGGCTTCCCTATTAACTTGTGGGAAGCTGTCAGGGAGCATTGGAAATGACAGCCATCTGGCCATGGCAGTGTGGAGGCACTGTATCAGCCACAACTTCCCCAAATTCCATTGCCATGGGAATAATGGGTCCCAACGTTCTATAAGTTAGCCCATTTGAGTTGCTTTGGCTCAAAAAATTGTGCACCATGGTGCACTTTTTTAAAAGCAGGCAAACAGACACTAGAATATAGATTGTGCTGTGCAGTAAAATTGAAAGTAAAGCTGCATGGCAATCAAAATCATTTCTATTTTGAAATAAGGTTTCCCATCGTCCAACATTAGAACAAAAGTAGGACATTCGGAAATTGTAACTAATGAAATAAAATTTAGTTCTGTGTTAAACACCTGTGGCATTCAGGACTCTCCGTTGATCAAACCTTACTTCAGTCAGCTTTTGTACCAACCTGTCATATTGTCTTGTTAAAAGTACAATATCATTCAGTACCTCATGTAATCCAATATCAATCATTCCATAAATATAAATTATTTCTTGCAAACATAAGGGGAGAGATAATAGGTCTTTTTCTCCTTTACCTCTGTAGTATTCATAAAATATACTTTATTTCTGTCGGTGGTGAAATATACCTTAATTTTTTTAACCTTCCCCCTTTCTAATTTTGGGTATTTAAAGGATATTTTCCCCTCTTTTCTAGTTTCATTTGCTTGCTTTCTGCTTTTTTGATTAAAACAAATGTATACATTTATTTGAATAAGTTTGGATATTCTTTGAGAAGCCTTGAAAGCTACTTTAAAAAAGCTCACAATGACAAATAGTTAATGTAGGTAGTTCTTGATTTATGACTATTTGTTTAACTTTGGTTCAAAGTTATGATGGCCTCTGAAAAAGTAACGACTGGTCCTCAAAGTGATGACAATCATGTTATCCCCCACAGTTACATGATCATAATTCCGGCAGTTGGCAACCAACCTCCCTTTACAGCAGTTGTGATTTGTCATCTTCCCAGTTGGCTTCTGACAACCAAAATCAATTGGAGGAGCTGAATTTGCTTAACAATCATATGAATTGTTTAATGACCATAGCAGAAATGGTTGCAAAATTGAGTCTGGTCATGTGATGCCTTGCTTGCCTGACTTCTGACAGAAATTCCGATACCCAATTGTGGTCATAAGTTGAAAACAGCCTGTATGTCTTTTATATTAACTATTTTGTCACTATAAGATTTTTCAGAGTGAGAAACAGTAGAGAAAAGAATCATTTCCTGGCTACTAATTATATCCCAAATGAATGTGGACAACTTTTTTTTCAAACTCCTTTGTAAAAACCTAACTGTATTTGGTTACCTCTCATTCCTTTTAAACAACTGTGCAGAACACGTCTTATTTTAAAAACTGCTCATAAATGTTTCACAATGAGAACCATACATGGTAAGGGGCAGTAACTATAATCCCCAAAACTATACATGGTAAGAGTCAGTAAATATAATCCCCAAAACAAAATTAGGTTTTGTGAGGAATATCACATAACCCTTCCTTACGTTCCACTCGTGTCACTCTAGAGGTAAAAAAATAGTAACTGGATATGTTTTTATTGTAGTGCACATCTCCATTAATTCATTTTCCAATAAAACTAGTTAATGATTAGAATAGTAGTATATGTCAGAGAAACTAAAGGGATATTTTTTAAAAAAAATCTCAAGTGATTTCATTTTACATTTACTATGCAAAGCTATTTTCTGATTCTCTTTTGCATTGATGCTGCCATAAATCTGCTTAGTATGTATGCAGAATAAACATTACTGCATTATTTCAGTAGAATTTTTTTTTAATGGCTACGTCAGCATGGGTTGAATTATCTGATGCTTCTGATTACTAATAATATGTCCTCTCAAAGCAGATATAAAATTTAGTTGCTTATATAGACGGTATTACTTTATAATGATTTTGTCCTTTTGAATAATAATTTTGTATTTTTATTCTTTTCCTTGACTAGCATTCCTACTTTATTACTCCTGATTTAACTGGATTACCAACTGTTCCTGAAAGTGTATGTTTTGACTATATTTGCAATATTTATTTAATAAATATCTTTAGAAATCTGAATACGTATTGATTAAACTCCCTCTCATTAATATGGCTCTATTCACCTATATGAATTGCATAATTAAATATTAATGTAACAATGTTGAATTTTTGGGATAATGTGTATATATGTATGGGCTGCAATGGGTGTGTGATTATATCTTCATTTAGGCAGCTAATTTAGCTAAAATTAATTTACTTAGGATTTACTATGTACATATATAATTGGAGTTTTAAATAGTTATAGATATATGGTAAACTCAAAAGCAAACAATTCAAGAGGCTCCTTTCTGAAAATATAAGATTATTGAACATGTTTTCAAAATATGCAAATGATAATAGATAAATTTTAGTTAAATGCTTATTAAAGAGATACATTTCTTTAAAAAGATTATTTTCCCTTTTAACTAGGCAGAAATAAATGTATATATCATTCAGTTGCCTTTATTAATGTGTTAACAGACTTTATTCTTCATTAACCAGAGAAATCTTACTGAATATTTTGTTGCTGTGGATGTGAATAACATGCTTCAACTTTATGCCAGCATGTTGCATGAGAGACGCATCATTATTACCTCCAGCAAGCTAAGCACTGTGAGTACTTCACACATCTCTTTTCAAGTAGACTATATTGAGCATCTCACAAAAAAGGCTTGCATATCTCTCTAGATTTAAATATGTCCCTTATATACTTAAGAGACAATATCTACATACTCTTTTTAAAAGATGTCGTTTTAATCTGACTCTTGAAGCACGAAAGTCTGATTGATATAGGCTTACTCAAATACATTAAGGTGGGTTAATTACTTTTTGTTACCCAGGGATGAGAGTTCTTTAACCCTCTAGAATTAGATTTCTATGCCTTCCAACCTATAAAGAATTCTTAAGGGCTATTATAAGATCTTTATTATTCACTTGTGGCTTATTCCATCGGACCTACTAGACAGGAATCAAAGGGCCATGATAATAGCTGCTATCCTAAATCTAGTAGTGTTTGGGGAAGATGTACTGTAATGACTCTGATTTTGAGCAGCTCTTCAGACTGATAATGACTTACTATTCCAAATAGTCTTTTTTTTATTACACCAGTTTTATGCCTCTGCCTAAGCTGAAATGGCTTTCTTATGTCATTGCAGATGGAACTGAGATAAAGGGTGTGCTGTGCTTATCCATGCCTAAATCTTTTGATAGTCCTGTTTGTTTCAGCTTTTCCCTTGTGGTTTCCTTTATAACTCTAAATCCATCACCATTAAGTTGAAAATAATGTTGCCTTCATGCCAGTGGGCATCATTTGTATCTGCATAGTGTCTGCTTAATTTAAGCCCATAAATAAATTAATTAAACTCCTTCAAATCCTTTGCTTTACTGAATACTTTAATACCAGACTTTAACCATGCAAGCCTCTATTCTTCCCTTAACATTAAGGTGGATGTGTTAACGTTTTCAAAACTAATGCTCATTTGAAGATAAATCCATTACAAAAACACCATTAATTTTAATTAATTTTAAAATCTTTTTGAACGATTTGTTGGCTTTTTATTTGTGGAATACAAATCCTTAGATTCCCCCCCCCTCCAATACAAACAAGCTGCCATATCAGAGAAATGCATTATTGTAACTTGCTTCTTATAAATTGCTTAGAAGGGCTAATGATACCACTTTCTCTTCTTCATACTTCTCTTCCCCCATTTTTTTTTAAAGAAAAGGGAAATAAAGATCTCAGTTAGTAGGGAGAGTAAAATCCCCACAAATTACAATGTTGATGTTGAAAGAGACATTTTACTTCTCTTCAGCTAGCATGGCAAGTATTTATTTGAAAATGAATCAAATGCAAAACAGCATCTGCCATTCTGCAAGGTTTTTGCTAGAATTGTTAGTGTGTTCAATGCAGCAACTTAATTATGTATAAGGTAACTTGCAATACCTGGCAGACTTTGAAAATAAGCTAAGCAAGCTCGCACTTGATCAGTATTGGTGTGGACTAGTCTAGGAACTTAAATAAATCTGGAAAATGTAATGGCAAAATGCTTTTCTTGTTCCTCAAAATACTATATGAATATAATGGTTTCAATTTGAAGGCGTCTTAACCTTTTTGTTTCCTTGATCACTGGAGCAAGGTTTAAAAGCTTAAACTAGTAAGATCCTGCAAATGTAACCACCTTGTAGTCAACAGTCCAGTCTAACAATTATACTCTTAACTTACATTAAGATAAGCTAATAGCTTTATACTCTGAAAGTTCATTCTTATGCCCCACTAACTCCCAACAGATGCTGTTGTAACTATTTTCAGAGGATGCTCTCATTTTTAGCCCACGGTCAAGGTTGCTTACTTTTTTATTTAACAGTTCCATAAAGACCATTTTTCTCCTTTCCTGACACAAACCTTGCTTTACAATCTGTGATATCTCAATGATTTTGGTGATAATTCTGTCAGGGCTAGGAGCTGTGCAGCTCCAGTATGTCCATGTGGGCTAGTGCAGGAGCCACCATTCTCCTCTATCTATAGTTGTTTGGGTAGTTCTATTTTTCGCAGCAGAAGATTCCATTTCCCCCCCATCTGGGCTCAATTTTATATTTGCTGGATCTCCAGTCCCACAAATCTTGTCTGATGGGTAAAGAGCTATTTCTCCCCACATCTTCTGCTTCTACTCCCAGACCTGGCAGGAGGATGGGAGGCTTAGCAAAAGAAGCAGAGGGTGCGTGTAGCTGCCAATTCTCCAGTTCATGGAATTGATCTCCATCCCATCCCACCTCAGAGAACTTTCCTTGACAGTGATCCTTACCTTGTTAGCCTTGGAAGGATAACAAGAGATACACTGGGCAAAAGAAGAATGCACTCTCTTTTCCTGATCTCCAACCCCACGTATAACCCAAGATCCGATTGGGAGAGAAAGCCAAATCTTTTCATTCTCCTGATAAACTATGGATCAGATTTCAATGCAATTATTCTCAATTTTTAGAAAAGACAAAAGCAGAAAATTCCATTTTGAATATAAAATTGCACACTGAATTCTAAAGCTGTCAGTTATTTTTTAATATTTGGTATAGATCTTGCATATTTAAATGAGAGTGTATTATCTCTACCAAAGAATTAATTTTCCCCTTTATTTCCAAGTAAGACCAGGCTACTTTTCTATAACAGTGTTATCAATTCCCTTCTTTTGTTGAAGGAGTTGTCCTTTATCTTTGGAGGTTAACTTAATATCAAATGTTTATGACAGTTCATGCAGACTGACTTATGATGTCACCTCCATGTTATCAGCTCAGTTTTGGTTCACTATCTAAGGGCAGTAGGACCAAGATCAAAACCCATAATTCATGCTCTCTCTCTTCCTTTTTTGGGGGGGCGGAGAAGAAGGGAGGTGGGAGTGCAAAATTGCTGTACTTTAATCCACATTCTTTACATCTGGGAATCCTGTGCCACTGAATTGTGATAATAAAGCATTAAGCTTGCTACGCATAACAGTTAAATAGAGGGAATGTCTGAGATCTCTGAGGGTTGTGTTGGTGGAAAGCAACAGATTTCGCTTAAAAAAATTAAGAGAATTCCACTTCTGATCAGCTTCCTGGTTGTTGCTGAATTTGCATTTCTTACTTTATAGTAGCATTTTAACTATGAATGCATGCATGTCATGTGCATATTTATTTCCAAAACATTTATTTTATAATGTTTTTATGTTGTCATCTCACATAACAGAAGTACATACCCTGTGCCTGTGGTACTTCTTAAAGCTATGATATTATATATCATAACTTTAATATTTGTGAGTGTGAATTCAGTGTATTTTCCCTCTCTTTAAACTAGCGTGAGAAGCTTTTTCAGAAAGGCACTGCTAGAGCATTGATTTTATGCCTGTTGTAGACAGGCCTGAGAAGTTTGGGCCCCAAGTGAACCTGCTGTGGTACTCTACCAGAACATCATGCTGTAGTCTTGTGTATTCAAAGCAAAGGAATAAATCATGATTTTACAACAGTGCATCAGTTGACTTATTGCTGTTTTGTGACCACTGGATGGGAAGGATTGCTGTTTAATGCCATGTCATTGGTTCTCAAGTCAGTCAGGCATGAAGGCTTGTCATATGCCTCTGTAATTGTACCTCTCCAGACTTACTCTAACTAGTCAGCTGGGGCTGTGCATTTTGTCTCTAACACCCAGCTGGCCTGTGCCTGACAGGAGCCTTCTCATCATCCTGTCAGTAATATGTTAAGTAGAGGGTGTCTGTTTCAAGGCCTCTGTTAGAGAAGCAGGTGGAAAGGATGCTGTGCTTTAATCTGCGGTGGAAATATTATCTCCCTTCCCCACCCTTTAAACATATATGCACACACACACACAGCATTTCTTTATCTGAGAATGGACCAGTAAATCTGTAAGTACATTCTAACTGCATAATTTTGGATCTTCTCACAAATATATTTTCTTCTGAATAAAAGCAGCAGAAGGAAAAGGCTAAAAATAAGAAAGTAAAGTGATTCACTGCAGTTGGGAGGTTGTCCTTTCCCTAACCCAATGAATCAATTATGACCTCATGTTCTGTTAGATAATTCTTAACTACTTGATATCTGCAAATAAGAAACATTTCTTCTTATCAGTTCTTTTTCCTTTGACAGACATGGTATTTCATTTAATGTTGTCAAGGGAATTAAGAACATTTGAAAGAAGCAGAGCAACTGACCAGATGCTAGGGAATGCAAAGCAACCCCCATTTGTTATAATTGCATTAACCTTCAACATGCTCGTCTTCCAGCTGACTCTAAAGAGATTCATGAATATTTGCCAGATCTAGATATCATAACTTAGTTACTTGTAAAATAATTTCTTGATGCTTTTTATCCCACTGGATATAAGCTTTATTTGTATTGATAACCTTTCCGTCAAAATGCTGAATCATGCTTTTAAAACTTGATCAAATGCTTAGAAGCAAGACTGGGAGGGTGAGATAAGAAGGAGGAGAAGAAATGTTTGGTCCACAGTCAGCTACCTCTCAAGGATCACCGAGATATAATGCATTTTCAAGATCCAAAATGGTTCCCTCCTCTACTGTTCAACGTGGAGCCCAAAGATTGATCTTCCACTATTGGATTGTGAATTTGCCCAGTTCCATAAACACCCAGGTCTTTTTTGGATCAAGCATTATTGATAATTTGAAAAATATGGCTGACCCTCTTGCCAATGTGACTTTTTATGAGATTTCTTATCTGAGTGAGAATAAGCAGATCTAAGAAAAAGAAAATAACTCACTAATTTCTGCACCTCTTGTATCTTCAGTTTCTATGTCACTTGAAGAAAAAAAGAATTAACATCAAGCCTGACAAAAAAACAAAGGGAGTTATATGCTACCTTGAAAGTACATGCCCACCCGACACCTCTCATGGTCCAGGATAGATATGGCGTGGTTGTCAACAGATCTAAATTCAGAAGTGGAAGATGTTTTAATTGATACAAATTCGTGGGCTGATCACAATCCAATTAGAATCAAATGGAGAGGACAAAAAAAAAAACGAGGAGGTGGACTCTAAAAAGAGCAATTTTAAACCATAAAGAATTTGAACTGAAATTAGAAGAGCAAATGGGTCTATTCTTCCAGATGAATAAA